AGTCCTCGTTCAGGGCAGGAAGGCACAATGTGAACCCAGAACACTTAAAATTCCAGAAAGCAATGATGCATGACAAGATTAAAGTCAACTCATTTAACTAATCTGTTTTGCTTGATGTGGCTAAAATTCCTCTAGGACACATGTATGACAATCCAGCCCCCTCCTCCCTTGGTCCCCGACAAACCGGATGCATGACAAGATTAAAGTCAACTCATTTAACTAATCTGTTTTGCTTGATATGGCTAAAATTCCTTCTAGGACACATGTATGACAATCCAGCCCCCTCCTCCCTTGGTCCCTGACAAACCAAGGTACAATTTTGCCAAACTGCAGTCTGGGAAACCAGTTTATTGGGCTTACTTACAGAGCAGTGGGTGAGGGTTTCCTTACAGGAGTGTGAGTGCTTCCCTTGAAGCCACACTGCAAAGTCTTCATCCAGGCATGGATCAGAACTTCCCCACGGCCAGGCAAAATGGCAAGAGAGCCTCTCTATGGCTTCCTCAGTTTTTATAATCTTGGGCCCTCTCCCTTGTGCAACTAGAGTTGACTGATTGGTTGCGAGGCATGGTGACTCTCTCTGCCCCTCCTTTCTTGAGAAAGGAGTGTCAATTTGACACACCTGGGTTGAGGGCACCTCAGTTGGGGAATTTCCTCCATTGGACTGGCCTGTGGATATCTCTGTGTGGTATCTTCTTGATTGTTGAGTGATATGGGAGGGCCCAGCCTACTGTAGGTGGTACCACCCCTGGGCAGGTGGGCCTGTGTTGCAGGCTGAGCAGGGGACCAGGGAGCAAGTCAATAAGCAGCATTCCTCCTCTCTCTCTCTCCTATACTCGCATCATGCGGCATCTTCAGCAATAGGGTCTTACTGGCTACTTCTGGTGTGTGGCCAACATTAGTGACAATAGCCTTTATCATTTTGGGGGCCTCGAGGACCAACAGCTCATAGTGCAGCATCCCACTCCTGGTATTGGAATTTTCATTTAACAGTTGTACCTGGCTCTGGTACCCTTGTGGAATTATTTTCCATCCTTGTTTCTTCAGGTGTTCTTAATATCTCTCAAATGGGCTCCACGTCTGCAAAACACTCAAGGGTAGCACTATGTACTAAATCAAACATAAACAAGGCCTAACACAG